TATTTATTTATTTATTTATTTATTTATTTATTTATTTATTTATTTATTTATTTGAGGGAGGAACCCAAAAGGTGCCAATTGAATTCAAAAAAATTAATAATAATTTATTCTATCTTCTTATTTATTTATTCTTTTCAAATAAGTAACAAAAAATTAAGGAATATCTCTGATTATCCAATAGGCCAAATGAACGCTGAGGCCAGGAAACAAACAACAACAACAAAGGCAAAGAAAACGAAAAGGCCTCCTGAGGCAGCCTCCCAAACAAAATGGGAAGTTGGTGCCTTCGCCTCTGAGTGAGCTGCGGAAATCAGCCAACGAGAAACTAAAAAAGGGGGCAACAGGGCACAGAACCACACTACCCTCTAATTAACTAGGCTCCACACGGCCTGCCGGTGCCGCTATGGGCCTTCAGAAGCGTCGCAGCAAGATCGTGCAAAAAACAAAATGGCAGCCGGCCACGAGGTGCACCCAAAATGGCCACCGGCTCCGGCGCGAAGAACTCAGAGACGACACAAGCCCCTCAACAACAACAAAAACAAGCCTGAATGCAGGCGAAACGAGGGACTGCAAAGAAGAAAGCTTTCCTTCTTCCAAGGGTGTTCGTGGGGGGAAGGCGCAACGGAGCGCTATAGAGAGCGCAAACAGAAGCCGCTGCTTAAATGCAGCACGGCTTAAAAGCGGCAGAGGCAGAAAAAAGGGGGGGTTGGGGGGGGCAAAAGGCTCTAAAACCCCCGTATCTCCCCCCTGAGGGGCGAAAAATCGCTCCTTTGCTAAATTTGGGACAAACCAAAAGCGCAGGGATCAAGGAAGAAAAGGAGAGATCAAACCTGAATTTGTAGAGAGAAAAAACCTGGATCGGCCAAGGAGTAACTGTTAGAGCTGCCTGTCTCTAGCGAGGCTGAGCTAAAACTGGGGAACGCTACGGAGGAGTCACGTGGAGGAGGAAGAGCGTTCCTCAATTATAGCTCAGCCTGTAAGAGTGAAGACTGGAGCACCTCCCACTCTGGATGCTCGCAGCAGCTCTATGGAGAATGTACACTACTATTGTTGTTAATCTCATCACTCCTTATCACCCATCCCCTCCCACTTGTGATTGTAGGACTGTAACTTTGTTGCTTGTATCCTTACGATTTATATTGACTGTTTCCTAGTATGATTTGATTGTTGATTGTACCTTATGACTATCATTAAGTGTTGTACGTTATGATTCTTGATTCTTAACGAATGTACCTTTTCTTTATGTATACTTAGAGTATTTACACCAAGACAAATTCCTTGTGTGTCCAATCACACTTGGCCAATAAAGTATTCTATTCTATTCTATTCTATTCTTCTATTCTATTCTATTCTATTCAAATGCTTGCTTTACAATAGGACTGTTTTTACAACATCCTGTTGTAAAAAAATATACAAACTTGCTAGAATATCTAAATCAAATTTGTTAAACACTTGATAAGAAAAACACTGAATATGCCCTATATAATACAATATAGACATTGATTCCAAATCATGATGATACCAAAATGATGAAACGTACTTTGACATCACAATACGAGCTTCACCTTAATTTGCACCATGACATTGCACACAAACATGTAAAGGGAAGAATTGTGTTGCAATGTACATTTCATCCCTCCCCTGCATGGCTGACTATAATTCAATATAGTATTTATTTATTTTTCAAATTTCTATGTAAATGGTGATTCATATTTCAGAAC